AATTTTGTGTGAGCAGGTAATTAATCGTGACAAAAAAAGTTCAGGTTTTCCTTATGGAAGCCATATCTGTTTTTTATACCATGGCATAGTTTTCGGCCGGATTTGAATTAAAAGGAATAGAATAAGAATATAAATGTGTTTTTTCTTCGGTAAATACGCCACTGCGTTAACTGACCATTCTTCTTGACATGCAAAAGATGGCAGCACCGTGTGGTCAAACAATTAACTAAAATTCAAAATCTAATATGGTAGGTTATGCGTCTGCTTGCAAAATGTGAGAAATTGTGTAATGAATATAGTGAAGTGCACCAAAGAAATCTATTCTTGTAGTAGAGGCATATCTATACCTTTATCTAACCTCTAAACACCAAAATAGCAGTAAATATTATTTTTAATAATCAAGGTTGGGTGGTCCCTTAGCCGGATGTTCAAATTGAAGGCCTGTCGGTTTTCGACCGTGGCGGTCGACAAGGGGTTGCATTAGCTATTTAGTTTCGGTCTTTTTCTAGCTATCCTTAACATTTTTTGTTCTAAAATTTGTTCTAAAATTTGTTCTATCCGTCATTCGGTTGCCCCCTTACGAGCAACCCTCAAAAGTCTTCGAAAGTCTTGTGCGAGCAAGGAATGACGGGGGCCTTACCTTTTAACGTGTGATCCCAAACACTTTCTTGGGCCATCAGAAAAATTTCTGCAGTCGACGGGGATCGAGCCCACGACCGGCAAGCGAATGCGAATTAGAATATAGACACTCTGTCCGCACGGCTACCTGGCCATTCATTCATTTAACTATCTCAATCGAATGCACTACTCGAATATATTCCCGCTATCAATTAGCCAGGTTTTCATACACTTTTTTAGCGCGAATTACAATCCGTTGGCGGTCGAAAAATGAGGATCACTTATTTATTTTTCGACCGGTCTTTTAATTATAAGCTTTTACGCATACGGAAAATGCATTATATTTCGACCACTAGGAAAATCTTATATAGGTATTTATGTATTCAGATGCCGCTAGTACTAAATGCAAAGAAGTCTTCAAAAAAAGATACCCTATCTACTGTAAGAGTAGTGAGAAAGGAAAATCGAAAACGTTTTCAATATGCTAGGAAAAAGCTTCAATATGTTGTTATAACAGATGAAGAAAATCAAGAGGATAAAGCGAGCGTGATAGTAACAAGTCAAGAAAAAGAAGAGACTGCAGTTGATATGGGTGAAGGAAATCAAAATAAGTAGACAAGTAGCAAGAGAGTAGCTAGTCAAAAAAAGGAAGGATCAGTTGATAAAATAGATGAAGGGGATCAAAAGAAGAAAGGGAGCCTGATAGTAAGTCAAGAGAAAGTAGGAACAGATAATGGGGTGAAGAAAATCAAAACAGGACAACTAGCAAGATAGAAGGAAGTGAAGAAAAGAAGGGGACCGTTGATAAAATAGATGAAGGGGATCAAAACAGGAAGGCGAGTCTGATAGTAACAAGTCAAGAAAAAAGAAGAGAAGAACAAAAAGTGAACTAGATAGTAGCACTAAGTCGAGAAAAAGAAGAGACAGTTGATGATATGGTGAAGCAAATCAAAATAAGCAGAGAACTAACAAGAAAGTAGCAAGTCAAGAAAAGGAAGGCACAGTTAATATAATAGATAAAGATGTCAAAGAGGGTCAAAATAAGAGTGAGCAAGATAGTAATGAGTCAGGAAGAAAAATTTACATTTGATGATACAGTAACCAAAACAAGCAGAGGAAATAGAAAGAAGAAAGGAGGAAAGGAGTGCCATACATAAAAAACTAGTTAACAACAAGAAATCACGAGGAGCGTCAGCAAAGTCATTATTGAAATAAACAATAAGTTGTGTGATATATGAGTACTCTGTATTTTATAATATGATCTACGTTGGGACGGCAACGATTATTGTTTGAAGTTAACAGTCAGAATATAAATTATTCCCCAATTTAAGTTATTTATTATCAACTATACTGCATCAAACATATTACATGGTGGCAGCGGTAAAACGTTAATGAGACCGTTAACATACGAAATTGAATCTAAAGCAAACATAAGCAAGACTGAAAATGAGATGATGGAAGAAGTGAAGGAGAGGAATCAGGAGTTGATGAGTCAAACCACGATGATGCTGAAAATGCAGAACATGATCAAGATATACTAAGAGTGGAAGAAAAATTAATAAACCAAATAGATTAGTACTCTGTATTTCATAATATGATCTACGTTGGAACGGCAACGATTATTGTTTGAAGTTAAAAGTCAGAATATAAATTATTCCCAAATATAAGTAATCAATGTATTATTAACTATACTGAATCAAACATATTACAAGTTGTATAACATGTGAAGAAGAACTACACAGCGATACCGATGATGAAGGCAACAAAAAAAAACAGCTCTTTTGCATGCTCTTAAAAGTACCTACTTACCTCTATTCAGGGTTTGTTAGTTACCATAGGTATAATTTTATATTTCAAGTGTGAGACTGAAGGAATAAGAATTTTTTTTACAAAATACCTACATGGAATTTTTTTTTCTTTGTTTTAATTAGCAGTTTTGCTAAGTGTTTCTGCATTTCATCTTTTTAGTTGCATAAGGAATATGGCAAGTGGTGCAATGGGCGTGTACACCCTAGTAGAACTTTCAACTCAAACCATGTTTATAATGATCCTTTTATACATAAATAATGATTGACGACATAATTCGATCAAAAATTAACTGGAATGTTTCATTTTTGGACATAACTAATAGTACCTTCTGAAAACGGACCCTCTTATGACGTAGAAACCTCATCTCGCCATAGTTAAAAGAAAATACCAAACGCCCGGCGGAGACTGAGGCAACTGATATATTAATTCTTTCAACTGTGATCTCGCGCTAATTCACTCTGTCAGAAATCATGTATCATTCATCTCTGTCTGGAATAGTCTAGTTTCAGTATTAGGGTTTTCGACGTCACATCATCGCCTCGTTTTCAGAGGTCCGAAAAATCGGGGATTTCAATAATTTTTTATAAAACGAAGGGAGCTCACAGCAAGAAACGGTTTGCGGTGGTGAGCTAGTTTGGGTGAGTTCTATGGAATAATGAAATATTTTTTTTTTGTGATATATGCCCATTGTTACATGGTCGAAAACAGGCGGTTCATTGCCCGAAAAGTGGTGAATAATGGTCGATAACCAGTACAAAGCTGGTCGACATTAAGCTTAGGGCGGTCGAAAACTGGTAAAAAGCGCATTTTTTAAAATTTGTTATATTTTCAAATTTTCACATTTTTGTCCATTCCTATGATTCCTGAAAGTTAAATCTATCAGGGTTATGAAGCAAACTGATATTATTATCTTGGACTTGCACACCACACAGTTGAAAGTGAAAGCAATGCAATCTGGTCGAAAACCGGCGCAGTCAAATTAACCAACATTTTTCGTAAAGATATATGATGAAGATTCTATGGGCATGTGGAATGTTGTTGACTAAAATACGCTACCAGAGAAACCCATATAGAACCATGATATATGTTCTTTTTGTAGAAACAACTGGTACTGGTACTGGTACTGGTGGGGGACGTTTCCACGTCAGCAACTAGTCCCCAATGGGACCTTTTTGCCAACCCCAAGTGTTTTCAATGACTGATGTGGTTCGCTCAAGAGAGCTGGCTAACATCCTTTTCAGGCACCGCCCATCAGCTCTCTTTTCAGAGTTTTTCAGCTGTGTTTTGTAGGCTAGTAATGTACTCACTACCATATGCGCAGTGGCAGGCCTGCTAACTATCATCGTTAACCCCCGAGACCGAGGTCTACTTAAGCAGCTGGCCCGCTCTCACGCTCAGCTGGTAGTTTTCCACACCCACCTACATACACGTACGCTAGTAATGTACTCACTACCATATGCGCAGTGGCAGGCCTGCTAACTATCATCGTTAACCCCCGAGACCGAGGTCTACTTAAGCAGCTGGCCCGCTCTCACGCTCAGCTGGTAGTTTTTCCACACCCACCTACATACACCGTCCTACTTCTTCTCTGATGCTCACAACCACATCATCATATCTTTCTGCGTGTTCTGTGTAGGCTTTGTTACTAACTCCATGCGCCACTTTAGGAGCAGCACTGTTAATTGGAACGCAACAGCGAATCGTGCAGGACTATCCCCAGCCGATGCTCCGAAACTTTACAATATTTAATTCGTAAATAAAATATTGAAAAAAGTTCCTTGCCCGTGCTGGAAATCGAACCCACGACCTTGCGGTCGTGAGACGGACGCTCTTCCACTGCGCCAATCCCTTTGTAGAAACAATCTTGACCATAAGAAGAGTCCAAATATAAATATAAACTGATCGAAAAAAATTAAGGATATTTTTAAACGCAAGTGACATACATATGAATTGCTATGCTAATTTTTTTCTAGAAAAATGTATTCATAGTAAAAAGACAATATCCTCAATTTACGCAAAGACATAGATATGCCACATTTCTTCTAGAAAAATGTTTCTTAGCAAAAAGACTATCCTTAACTTTTTTCGATCAGTTTATTTTCACCAGTACTGTTTCGGCTCATCAGGCCTTATCAGCTGCTTTCGGTCTGCTGACAATTGGGACAATTCAACCATGGTTGTATCTGAATTACCTAATTCGATAAATCTGCGTGTTATTGCCATCTTATGGCTCTGATGAGGATCAATCGAATACAAATATCCAATTCAACAATCTACGCGATAAGGACATAACTTTATGTATTATTCCAGTCCAGTACTACATCCAGAATTTGAATAGCTATTCCTATTCCTAAATATTGAGTACATGGTGATTTTTGATTGATGGTGGACGCTAGACGTATGAGGAGCTTTGTATAGGGTGTCAAAGAATTTCCTTACTATGCGCATTCTTGGTTATTTTTAAAGTTAAATATTAAACCAAAATCTATTTTGAATGGTATCAGAAAGTCGTTGTTTCATTGCTTTTGTTAATTTGTTTTCACGTCAATCAATAGTACCTCAATGATTTGTAGAGAGCTCAGCTTTTGGAGTCCCTCCAGAGAGTACAAGCATCTAATGAGGAACTATCACAATTGACTTCAATAGCATCCATCCAAACGAAAGGACTCAAAAGGTACTTCCAGGAAGAAATTAATCCAGAAAAGTTCAAACCCAAGAAGAAATCTGAAACTTCAAATAGTACATTCAAGCCTAATTCACTATCTGGTGCCAAACGAAGAAAGCTATTAGAACCAGATAACAATAAGGTTAGAAATGATGATCCAAATGTGGTAGGTTTCGAAAATAGTGATTCAGATAGTAATGAATCAGACACAGAATCTGAGAAAGAAAGTGAAACTAGAGAAGAACCAGAAATTTCAAAAGAAAATGAGAAAGTTCTCACCTATGATGAAGGAAATGACATAGTGGTCATGGAACAAAAAACAGAACTACCTATCGAAATCAAAGAAGACCAACAACAGAAGCCCAAGGTAAAACAAGCTGAACCAGTACCCCGAAAACCAGCAGTATATGTTGACGTCATCAGAAAAGAAGACATCCAAAAAGCAAGACTAAAGCTTCCTATTTTGGCAGAGGAACAACAAATAATGGAAACAATCAACGAGAATTTTGTAGTCATTCTAGCAGGGGAAACTGGCAGTGGTAAAACAACACAAGTGCCCCAGTTCCTTTATGAAGCCGGATTTGCCCTGAAAAAGCAAATTGGGGTTACTGAACCTCGGAGAGTGGCTGCCATTTCAATGTCAAGGAGAGTTGCTGAAGAAATGAATTTGAGTACGAGAGAGGTCAGTTATCTCATAAGATTCGAGGGGAATGTCACTGATGACACTAAAATCAAGTTTATGACCGATGGTGTGCTGTTGAAGGAAGTCCAAAGTGATTTCTTGCTCTCCAAATATTCTGTTATCATTCTTGATGAGGCACATGAAAGGTAATAACAATGAATGTTCCACTCGTATGTTTTTCTGCAACCGAACTACTAGTCCTATCTTAATAAACTAGGAGTTCGACTAGGAGTATCTTTTTCTCGAAAATAACCTTCATGTATCATATTCTGAAATCAGAATGTAAAGAAAATATACAATAAAAAATGGTTTTTTACCCTCAACCCCTACAAATTCAGTATTAAAAGTTTACCCGATGTACCAAATTCATGAATTTTGGAAAAACGATTTCGTACATTGAGGAAATACAATGAAATATAGAGAGAAATAAATAATCGCTATTATTATTGTTGATATGTTGATATGCTCACTAACCTAAAATTTTCCTATACCTAGCACTGGCGCGGTATTTGCTATTAGGGTTGACACCTGGTCCGAATTCATCGATTCATCGATACAATAATGATGGAAGTAAGATATGGTGTAATTACTGATGCGCTTTTGTTTGAGAAATTTTACTCGACCTCTCGAGAGCAGCGAGAGCAATGGTTCCGTTGATCTTCTAATAGATGGCGACATTGCACAATTATGACTTCTGTCAGTTTTGAAATTGTCGCAGATTTTTCGAATTCAGAGTTGTTTAATCCCACTGTTACATATGTTCCGCGTACCTAAAATGGCATTTGCCATTTTATTTCCACTCGTCACAGCAGCATCACCATCTAGCGGGAAAATGTAGAATCAACGTCTCGCTCGTTGTGACGAAGAGAAATCATAGTAGGCAGGTCGAGTGATTTTTCTGAAATTTTCAATACGTAATAATGGCCGAATGCGCACACCATATCTTACTTCCATCAATGATACAATAGAATACATAAATGGTTCTCTCTGTGGTTGTATTTATATTGAAACTACAATTCGAACATCTTTGAAAATGGAATAAATCTGATCTGCTTGCTTCTATCTAATAAATCATATTATTATAATAAAGGTATAACAATAACAATATAATTCTTTCGGTTGCAGAAAAAATAGCATGTTTCATTAGGATCAAAAGTGACTTTGTTTGACTGGCAAATGCTTAATTCGCTTGTCAAACAAAGTGTCACTTTCGATCCTGATGAAACAATCTACTTATCACTTTTTCAGATCAGTTTATACTGACATTTTGATTGGTCTCCTTTCTCGGATAGTTCCTTTGAGACACAAGAAAGGCGATCCCCTCAAACTCATAGTAATGTCCGCTACTCTGCGACTAGAAGATTTCACCATAAACCAGAGGCTGTTCAAGAACCCTCCCGCTGTAATAAAGGTGAACGCCAGACAATATCCGGTTACAATACATTTCAACAAGAGAACCAATGAGAACTATTTGAAGGAAGCTTTCAATAAAGCTGTTAAAATAAACACGAAATTGCCTGATGGAGGTATACTGATTTTTGTTACCGGCCAGCAAGAAGTTAATTCTCTGGTGAGGAAACTGAGGAAAACTTTTCCGTTGAGACATAAAAGCAAATTGCTGGAAAAGGACGAAGAAATGAAAAATGAGAGGGATGCTAATTATACAAGTGATGATGAAGATATTGAAAACGGTACGGTAAAATAGCATCTGAATATGACAAAACATGAATCGTGCATCAGGTTGTGACCATTTTTCACCTAAAAAATCGGGAATCTATAATTTTGATTCGATATTTTTTGTAATTTTTTTTTACACTGACGAAATGAAGAAGGGGTGAAATAGATGCGACAAAATCGGGTGACATGAGTAATTTAGTTTAGTTTGATCCATTTCTACGGGAAACCCCTTTTCACAATACATACACAATAGATTATTATAATTTCTGTAGGTCGAAGAGGTGGAACATTCGTTTTTTTTTCTGGATTTTATCCTCATACCTATAAAATAAAAACATGAGTATTATTTCAATACATCCATGTAGCATTTACGAATCAGATGATTTGCCCCAAAATGTCACTGCGTTCAAAAATTTTACTAATTGAGAGCCTAAAACAAAAATTCTATCGATTGTCCGTGACACCTTGTTTTGAAAAATGTTTGATGAAGAGAAATGTAGATGATACTTGAAAATTTTCTGGACTTTTAAAAGAACTCTCAATTACGAAATGTTCGAGAAAATTGAGAGTATGCTAATTAATTTCTGCTTAATGATTTCTTCATTTCAAAATTCATCATTTTGAATCACGTTTCATGTGAACAAGAGCTAGTTTAAAATATATATGAGGTTTTGTTTCATAAGTCAATTCGATGATCTGAACTAACGTGTTTCTGACCTGAAAAAGACCCTCAAGAAATCCAAAAAGCAGAAAATTATCCCGCAAATCGACCTAGACGACTATAGCGTACCGGGCGACCTTGACAACAACTCCGACACCGACCTCTCCGACTCCGACGAAGACTCCCATGCCCCACTCCTCCCAATCACCAAGGCCCAACCGCTCTGGACCCTCCCCCAGAAAATTGAGAGTGCCATAATTCACTTCACCTTAATGATTTCTTTATTTCGAGATTCATATTTTTAAATCACGTTAGGAACAAGAGCTAGTTTAAAATATATGATTTTGTTTCGTCAGCGGATTCGGTGATCTGAACTAACGTGTTTCAGACCTGAAAAAGACCCTCAAGAAATCCAAGAAGCTGAAAATCATCCCGCAAATCGACCTAGACGACTACAGCGTACCGGATGACACCGAGAACAACTCCGACACCGACCTCTCCGACTCCGAAGAAGACTCCCAAGCCCCACTCCTCCCCATCACCAACGCACAACCGCTCTGGACCCTCCCCCTCTACTCCCTCCTGCCCTCCCACAAGCAGCAGAAGGTCTTCGAGGCGCCGCCTCCAGGCTGCCGCTTGTGTGTCGTCAGCACCAACGTGGCCGAAACTTCGCTCACCATCCCGAATGTGAAGTACGTGGTGGACAGCGGCAAGACGAAGGTCAAGATGTACGACAAGGTCACGGGGGTGACTAGCTACGTGGTGGACTGGACGAGCAAGGCGTCGGCGGACCAAAGGGCCGGTAGGGCAGGACGGTTGGGGCCCGGACACTGTTACAGGTAGGGCAGTACTCTGACTTGATAATAATAGAAAGACAACGTGATTCATTCATAAATAGTTGAAAGGTATGCGCCAACAGTCCTAAAAGCCAAACGGATATTTTTTTTATGTTCTGGTTCCCATGAAAAGGGATATCCAGTAATGTTCAGAGAACATCGTGAGACCCAAGGGAAATAGGGTAGGAATTGGTGTTCTTTGGAAAGAGATGTTCTGCAGGTCTCCAAAGTGACCACGAAGGGGTGCGAAGCCTCAACTCGACGGGTTAATCTCGCGGGGACTGCCAAGGGAGAAAAAATTGTTGATATTTCAGAAGAGCATCGTCCATGAAAATATCTATAAAATAGAGCCAGATCGCTAACTTTTCTACGGTGTTCCAGAGAAGTGAGTGAGAGTGTGAGGGAGGCATGATCCACGAGACGAATTGCCCTTTTTTGGACAGAATCCAACAGTTTCATGGTATGTTTGGGTGCTGCACTCCAAATATGGGAACAGTATTCCAGGACAGGTCGGATCAGTGCCTTATAGATCATAAGCAGCTGACTGGAAGTGAAATAGCTCCTGGTCCGAAACAGAAAACCAAGTTTTTGGAATGCACTTTTAGCAATTGATCTCACGTGATTTTCCCAAGAAAGGTTATTGCTGATAGTAATACCAAGCATCGAAATGGATGTCTTCAAAGGTATGGTTACTCCTGACAAGCTTATGTTGGGCACAGTGAAATTGATATTCTTTACGAAAACTTACCACATGATCCTCAGAACAAAACAATACCTCTGTACATAGTTGCTTGGTTAAGGCGTTAGATGGCTTTGAAGTTACAATTTCAAATCGTTTTTGCTTTATAACTTTGAAACGGCTCATAAGATTTCACTTTGCAATAAAAACCATATCATGATAATGATAAATATTATTTCAAGGGTGTAGACTGTAGAACTTGATTTTTTTAGTAAATAAACATCTGAAACTTCTACGCCGATGGCAACTAGACCTCAATAGTTCACCACTGTTAAATTTGTTTTCTTAGTAGTGTTAAGGGGGGACAGCTGAGAAGCTGCTTAAATAATATCCACGTCTTCAAATATCAAGTTTGTATTCTAGGACAATAACACCTTTACAGCTCTCTAGTCTCAACTCTACTAGTCATCCTAACTATTCCCTGTCACCCTCTCTTATCTAGCTTATGTAACTCCTTAATCATGCATTCAATATCTCTTAGTCATAAAACCGGCACCGGTCGATATTCTAAACATAATGTGATGGTACTAAATCACACAAAATATATAATAATAATGATAATATAATACTAGTGATTAATGTAATTTGGTGGGTATCTCTGGAGTGTTTCTAACAGTAGGTAATAATATGTATGTGAGCATTTGCGTAGATTTTATATTTCATTATTACTATTATTATTATTATTATTGTTAGATATGTGATCATCGTTCTGTGATTCATATATTTCTGGTAGATGATTGAGGTTGAGGTGATATAAGAGAGAATTGTATTAGTCAGTCTACGTTTATTCTTGATAGAATGAAGTGGTTCTCGTTGTGCATTGTAGAAGTGCCTATTTCATTTACGCATTCCTACAACACGGTTTCTCACATCATGTATTTGCTATCAACCTTTTCAAGCTAACCGTATTTGAAAGCAGATATTGTGCCTATTTTCCGAAAATGAAGGTTTATCGAACCTTTCCACAGGTAATTCTAATCCTTCAGGTTGGAAAAGTAGGATATATGAAAGTTAGGCAAGCCAAGGTTAGTTTAGTTCATTGTACCAGTATTTCACCTGATGAAGCTACTGTGTTAGCGAAACATGTACTGTGATTAAAAATTTTGTGGAAATCTTGAGGTCCATCCCCAATCAATTCAGTGGCGAAGTGACACTTCGGCACGCTTGCTTGGACAATGACTTTCAAACGCGAGTATCCTCAATTCAATTTCGTGTTGACATGCGCGCCGACCTATAAGTGCAAGCTTGTAAGCTGCAAGCTTTTTCGTTGCGTACCGAATTGTGTCATTCGCAATGGAAAAATCATTTAGGTACCCTACTCTAACCCTATTATTATTTTTGTAAACAAACAAAAATACATTCATTACCTTTATTATTTCTTGTCCTTTCTTTGATAAGTAGTTATGGTACCTAAGTATGGAGCGGAATGTTATCAGTACTAGACGAGAGCTATCGAAGGAGCAATTATTGTTAAACAATTTATTGCTTTTAAAATTTGTTTGCAGCTTTTAAAAAATAGGCAATTAGTTGGGCGTCCTCGAAGGTTTAGACCAAGAAGATTTGGGGTGCATCCCATATTTTTGCTCAAGAAAAAACAGGGTTTTCATGAGAACTTACTTACTTAAAGAAGCTTGTTTAAGTGACCCATTGATTTTTTATAATTTCACGAGAATGTGTCTTAGCAGTTTTGATAAGCTTCTATCTGTAGTAGGGTTTATAGTTTGTTATACATTGTAGCAAAAACTAATCATTTATAGGATTATTTTTTTCATCCATTTTTTACTACTTTTTCTCTCATCTACAGGTTGAACTTTAATAACCTCAATAACAAAAACAAAGAAAATGCCATCACGTCACGTCAGACATCACATTCACAGAACTATCAATAGTTCTGTGGTCACATTCAGGCTGACTGAATTGACAGGATTGAGGATGGGTATCCGTTTTGCAGCACGCGTGCCGAAGTGTCAATTCGCTAGCAGATTGATTGAGGATGCACCTTTTATCGTTTGTGAAGTTTTTACATTTGCCATGGATTTCCATCGAGTAACGGGCCGAGTCAATAAAAAAAAAAAGAAATGATACCTGTCGGTAAATGGAAGAAACTTCACAAACGATATGAGTTCCACAAAATTCTACTGTGTTAGTGAAACATCTCGTGTTTAAAAAAACATATTATGTGTGGAGTTATTCTACATTTACTATAGAATTCCATCAAGTAACGGCCGAGTCAATACAAAAAATACATGCAGTCATGTCGATAGAATTTGCCGGTAGGACGGTATAACATTTTCAAACTATAGCTTCGTTATTAGGAAGCCGCGCACTTGATGTTCGTGGATCACATTCCAGATTGTACTCCAGTGCAGTATTCAACGACACCTTCCAGCTGTTCTCCATCCCGGAGATCCAGCAAAAACCCGTCGACGACTTGTACCTGCAAATGAAATGCATGAACATCGACAAGGTGGTGAACTTCCCGTTCCCCACCGCGCCGGACTTGCTGCAGCTGAAGAGCGCCGAGGCCAGGCTGGAGACTCTGGGGGCCCTGAAAGGGGGCGAAGTGACGGCGCTCGGTCGGGCCGTGTCCAAGTTTCCCGTCTTGCCGCGGTACGGCAAGATGTTGGCGCTCAGCCACCAGCAGGACTTGCTGGCCTACACGATATGTCTGGTGGCGGCTTTGTCCGTGCAAGAAGTTTTGCTTGAGGTTAGTGGAGTTTTTCACTTTTGGAACTCGTTCGACTACGAATTTAGTTCCAAGATTTTTTCATGGATGATTTTCTTGTCAACCTGACGAGTTAGTAACCTCACTTTTACTAATAACTTCATATTATCAACAATAATTTGGTTTTACTTCTTCTTTTTCAAAAGCTAAAATGTTTATTTATTTTTTGTTTTTGGATATATGACAAATTGATATTCATCATACAGGACGTGGGAAGAAATTCGGAATTGAGAAAACCTAATCACAAATCTGCCATTAGAGATCTATAAAAATGACAAATTTCCATCGTGCAAGTTTGATTGGGTATGAAAGTATTGAAAAAGGATATTCTCACATATATTATGAACTTGAAAAAATGGATATATAGATGAAGAAATACATTGAGAATTTGCAATCTCTATTTTGGTTGAAATATAGAGAGATGAAAATTGTGTATTTCATGAAGACTTGCTGAAAGAATAACAGGACTTCAGGTTACTGAGGAGGGTTTGATACCCGAAATGAGTTCATTTCAATAAAGTCATTTAACCTGTATGGTAGAGATAATATTCCCATATCACTGAAAATTCATTCCATATTCTGATTGAAATGGTAATCAGAAATATTATTGCACTTGTCTCTCAGAAATAGAGAATTGATACGTAAGTCGAATCTTATATGGTGTTCTGTCACCCGTTTTCCCGCGTTTTTCATGTTATAAAATATCATGAATTTCAATAATTATTTAAAAAAGTTACAGCGCCAGTGCACTAGTTAGGGTTAGTACTTCAAAATAATGAATTAAAATGTTTCACTGAAACAGGCCCGCCCATTCAGAACGTTCAATTGAGCTAAGCTATCTTGTATAATTTCGAATATACGTGGATATGCATAGAGTAGTTCCACCAATAAGAATTTTGGAATTGTTTCCATTTCCATAGTAACCAATTCATATTGTTACATACAAACAAAGCAAAGCGCATCGTCAAATTTTGACGTTCATTCAGAACTACTCAAAAAATGATCGCATCAAATACAATTCGAACTTCAAAATGTTCAAGGTTTATACATCTCAAACTTCCTGCACAATTATAAATCGTGTCAGTTCAATAGAAAACTGTTAAACTGGCACTCTTTGTAATTATACAAGTTATCTATGTATAACCCGAATATTTTGAAGTACTCATAGTATGATTACTGAATATAATTCATGCTGGGTCACATGACCCCTCTCAAAGGTAGCATGGGCTTGTTGTAGTCTAACAGAGGTCCTCAGAATGTCCGCAGAAGAAGTAGAACAAAACACCCTTTTTCACTAGTTACTCTGAGGTTAGTGATATTTTTCACTTTTGGAACTCATTCGACCTCGAATTTAGTTTCTACTAGAAAGGACCAACAAGGTTTTTTTATGGATACTTTTCTTAACAACCTGACGAATAAGTAACCTAACTTCAGGATATTGATAATCCTTTGATTTGACTTTTTCTTTTTCAAAGCAAAAAGGTGATTACTTGCCGGTACGCACTGATGATATACGAAATCCAAACACTTTGTACAATCATTTGTATAGCTACACGTGCACACAGCTAAGAGAACCTCTCTTGGAATTTGGTGTCTACCATAGTAAATGGTAAAACCACTCGATATCAAAGTTGGCACCAGCGAGGATCGGCAAAATACAGGGTAAGTCATAACTTTTGGGCGTATGAAAAATTGACATTCATCATACAGGGCGTGGAAAGAAATTCTGAATTGAGACTCTATCACGAATCTGCGATTAGAGGTCTATAAAAATCACAAGTTTTCATCGTTCAAGTTTGAACCCCCTGATTGGGTATGAAAGTGTTGAAAAGGAATATTCTCAGATGAATTATGGACATACAAAAATGGATATATATATTTATATGAAGCAATACATCGAGAATTTGCATTCTCTATGTGATGAGAATATCTTCTCTTTTTCAGTTTATTCAATAGAAAACAACTACTTTCCTGGCTATATGCCACGACGAACATTGAATTATATCTATTGAACACACACGATAAGAGTTTGAAAATGAAATATAAAAACTTCTGAAATTGAGATTTTGCATTCTCCTTCTGACAATATGTAAATGCACACATCATTCAGAATATTCAACAGAAAACAACTACTCTCCTGGCTATTTGCCACGTCGAACATTGAATTATATCTGATGAACATTCAAAAGGAGAACATGGAAAATAAAAAATAAAATCCTTCGAAATTGAGAATTGACATTCTTCTTCAAATCGGATGAATAACATGATGTATAATGATATAGAAATATAACTTACCAATATATTCAGCATTGAAATGAAAATTGGAATGTATAGGATAAGTATACTGGCATAAACTCTGATCTTGATGAGCTTGAAAACTTCCAGAAATAATCATTCATATCAGTGATATGGGAAATATTATCTCTCACACACAGGTTATATGACTTTATTGCAATGAAACCATTTCGGATTTCTGAATCCTCATCAGTAACCATGATGTCCACTTATTCTTACAGTCATTCTTCATGATATACACAATTTTCATCTCTCTATAATACAACTAGAACCGAGTAAAACTATAACAAAATGACATCTGAGAAAATTTGTTGACATTCTATTCCTGTCATTTGGACGTTTTTGATTTTGGGTGTATGATAAATTGACATTCATCATACAGGGCGTGGAAAGAAATTCTGAATTGAGACTCTATCATAACTATTGGGACAAAGGAAAAGGGAGGATTGTTTCGATCAAAATATAACTGTGGAAAAATATACAGGGCGTTTGAATCGAAAAAGTATTGACTATACTCTCACACCAACATTCATTCACTGACAAGAAATGTAAGTCACCAGCAACAATTATCTGACAGTCCAAAGCACACTCCATAAATAAAATGATATTTTAAATCCCCTTCGGTTCAATTGCGTTTTTCTCGAAAACGGATGAAAATCTTGTTTTTGACCAAGTAGAATTAATGTTTATGTCATATTTTCTAATCAAAATCACTAAAAAGTTTCGTCAAAAAAGTTTACAGTCGATTTCATCATCAGAATTCATTCACGTGGCGCCCCCTGTAACAACCTATAGAATAATACGTAAAATAAGATTCCCTGTATGAAATTATGCCTCTGTACCGATTTAGATAACAATTGATGAATATAAAATGAAATTATTAGCAAAAAACGAAAAAACTTCAACGCCATGTATCTTTTTCCACAGCAATATTATATTGAGGCATATTAGGTCCTATCGCCATATTTTTGTCCAAACAATCCGCCCTTAGCCTATGTTCCAATAGTTATGACTCACCCTGTATATCTGGATATTGATACATCTGTGAAGCAGGCCGTACTGTATAAATATACATAACAAGAATACTATAATTTCGAGAGCCTATTGATCCTCCAGTTTTTTGATACCACAACGGTGTACTGAATTTTCGAGATAATTATGTTGCTTTGTTGTATATTTGGTTGCGTACTAATTAAAGGCTACTATACTACTATCGCAACAATGATATTGTCGCGAGAGCGCCCTCCTAGGCAGAACACCCTGTACCTGCTACATGCTTCCACCTTCACTCAACCAACGGCGGTGTGCTGTCCTGAGTCAGCAGGATTCTCAGCGTGCGGGGCACGGAGGGAGACCACGCAACTCAAGCCCACGTCAATCATTTTATTGCAATGTGAATGCATTTTGTATAATTAACAATTCAGTTGTACTGCTACCACATAACTTGTAAGATCTATCAGTCAACTCCCCAATACACCCCTTTTTGCCGACACTGCTCTAGTTATTGAACTACCATAGCTACGACCCCATACCCCTACGTCACAAATTGGTGGAGGCGCCGGGCATTCCGAGTAAATAAAACTATAAAAAATAACAAAAAAATCGAAAAACCAAGAAAATCAAATGAAAAATTGTGGGTGAGTTAAAGTGAAATACGGGCAGTGGAAATCGTAATTAATGCTGACGCGGTTGAGGAAAACTAAAGTAAAACACGAAGCAGACGAGAAAGTGAAGGAAGAAATAGGTACGAACCCTGAACCAGAAGAAAGCAGGTATTCAGAAACTGAGTCAGACGAAGAAACTTTTGTAGAATCCGAGGAACTCCAAGAAGACGAAGAAGAAACTATAGCTAAGCCGAAACGAGAAGAAACCAAGATGGGAGACGCGGCTGAAGTTTATGCTTCGGTTACACCTAAAACTTTCGCCGGTAAAGCGGGCGAGAAGGTTCAAGATTTTTTCAAGATTTTCAATAGAGCAGCAACAGCTAATCATTGGTCGGATCAAACCAAGTTAGTACAGTTACCTTGTTTTTTGGAAGGTGCCGCCTTAGACTTTTTCGAAACAATCGAGAATCAGTGTACCGAATTCGCGATTGCCCAGCAGAAAATAATTGATTCGTTCAAAAGTGCCGCACAGAGCGAACAGAATTATTTTAAACTTTTGAATAAGAAGCAGAGGCCGGATGAGGATCTTTGGTGTTTCTACAACGATGTTCTAACACTGTGCTACAAAGTGAACCCAGGTATGCCGGAAGCCGAGATAGTCAACTTTATTATGCGAGGGTTGAAGCCTACAATTTTGGAAAAAGCAAATTTAATGGAAAATGGAACCCTAGAACAATTCAGGAAGAATTTACAGAAGATAGAGGCCACTCAAGAGATGCTGCGAGTCAGTGGAGGACCATCTACGTCAGGGGCAAGGCTACAAGACAGCAGGACGAGCACTGCCGAGAGGGAGTTGGAGGAACTTCGAAGACGGATCGCCTACTTGGAAAGAAAACCCGAAAGGTTGGTGTCTTCTAATAATAATAATTATAGGAATGATAGACAAAGAAATTTCGATAATTCGAATTTTCAGAAGTCAGGAGGTCGAACTCCTGATGGTAAAATAATTTGCTACCAATGTGGTAAGCAAGGGCATTACGCAAAAAACTGTTACGCAAAAAACCAACCACCGCGCCGCTAAAC